TTGGTGAATGCTGTCCGATGCTCTGCGTGCGTGTTTGCGTGGAGGAGTGGCGGAGACATTCTGATTGTTTGGTCGGGCTGGAATACATTGATACACACAGGGAGCTGAGAGCTCGAGAGCCGAAAGAGAAGGCGAAAGTGTCCTTTTAGTGAGCCTGCTGCGCCTGCAGCTGCTGCTGCAGATTGGCGCGGCGGGCGGCGCGCGCACCGCTGCTGAGCGGGGGGTTCAGGAGGTCGTAGTCCTTGGGCCGGCGGAAGAGGAGGACATGCGGCTCCTGGTGGCTGTTAGAAATCGCAGGAACAAGAGAAACTCACAGGTCCGTGGCACATGTACATCTCCCAGCCGGGCGATTGGCGGATACCGAGGCTCCGCCACGTCTCCTCTGGGAGGACACCGGAGGGAACAAACTTCCACAGCTGCTTAGGGAGCTGTGTCATGGTCAGCCTCTGCTAACGATATACCAATGCCAACTCACAATCACATGCCTGTTGGGTGAATAGCAATAACATGATACGTCAGGGGTTAGTGGACCAGAAGTGAAGCAAAACAGAGGTTCGGTGCGAGTAGTTGCAGTCATCAATAGCAAGGAAGGTCGTCAGCATGTGTCTCTGCGGCCAGTTCGGCAGTCGCCTGAGCTCACCTGTACTCCCACTCGTCGTCTGCGATGGTCAGCCGATGCATCCTGTGCGAAGCATGTAGGACAGACAACGGCGCCAGTCCCTGTTGGGCGACGCAGTTTCACCTGACGCTGTACTCACCAGAGTATCGGTCTGAGTAGAAGATCTTCGGGCTGAACTGCTCGATCGCTCGTCGGCGCTCCTCGGCGGTGAACGTCTTCTTCGACATTGTTCGTGTGTAGGTGGACTCGGGATTAACAGTCGATGGGTTCTGAGATTGTCAGCGCTGCTCGGTCGCCAGCTGATTCGGCGTCGCATCGCTGGATGGCTGCACTTGGTGTGAGGAATGCGGCGCCTTCCTCGTTGAATGTCGAGGAAGGAAGGCTGCGGCTGAGGAATGCAATCTTGGACGGAGCCGATCACTCAAGTCTGAACTCACCTTGGGGGCAGCGAGCTCGAGAGACGGGTATACACCGAGCTAGGTATGTGCGTTACGGCGATATGGAACAGGGGGAGGGGATGGGGGCGCCGGTCTTGAGATGCGAGGCGAGGTATATGCGCTTGCTTGTGCTTTGAGCTTGATTGGGATGAGAGAGGAAGTGGAAGACAAGGACGACGAGGATGTTGGTTGTTTATGCAGCTTGTCGATGTTTGCGCCCCTATCGCCCTACGCCCCTATACGCAGACTGGCCCAGCAGATGTTTGGACCAGTTGGCTAAGCCACTTGCGGGGAGTGCGGGGTACAGGGGCGCGAAATGATGCCGCTCAAAAGAAAGTACGTCGCGTGTGCGCGGCTTTTCCTGCCCAGGCACCGACACTGAATGCCCCGTTTGGGCCGTGTCCGGGCCGTTGGGCGGGTTGGGGGCCGTCCAGTTCCCACACTGACGCTACGCACGAGCAGAGGAGAGACCGTGGGAGACCGGCTCGCAGGCGGCTCGACGGCGCCCCTCACCCGGGCGTCCGGCTGCTCCGTTCAAATTAACCTTAAAGCGGCATGACGTCCGGATACAGGAATTTCATGAACACCTCGACTGCAGAAGGAATGTTTGTTGACACCCGTCTCTCCATCGCGCGACCTCCATCATGCAGTCATCGACGTCGGTCCTATCAGGGCTGTTTGGTGGGTGGATCCAGCGCACAGCGTCAGCCATTCCAGTGGCCTGCGAGGCATGCGAAGGCAGCCCGTGAGCGGCGTGTGCTCGATGACAGGGACAGGTCGCGGCCAGTTGGAATGAATGAGGACCAGCCGCTCGCACCGGACCCACCCCTTGTTGATCCCGCTAGCGCGCAGCACCCATTGGCAGACACCTGCATAAACATAAACAAACGTATCTGAATCATCTCGCCATTCGCTCGACGTTCAGGACGGCTTGGGCGACGGCTTGAATGACGAGTTCGTGCAGGCTGCTGTTTATGTTTGGCTCTTAAGATATCAGGGTCAAACGGAATGTGCAGGCGCCGTTTCAGCCTTTGATACTGAGCATGCAAAGCACAACTGAAGTTCCGTCCCCTCATGTTCCAGCGACATCGCCTCTTCTCCTTCAAACGGCGTGTTTGAGTTGCCACTTGGAAGTGCCTCCTGCAAGCATGCGCGAGTGTAGTCGAGATATCTACGTATCAGCTCAGGGCTTTCCGCAACAAGCGCAGTGTCTATCGCTGGGCGCTGGCCATGAAAGCCGATTCTCGCAGTCCTCAGGGCTGATAAGCGACTGGTGCCGGCCGTGACCTACCGTCTCATGCACACAATATAGCTAGCTATTCATACCACTGAATCCCAGATACAGTGCATTACCAAGAGAATATAGTCAAAAGCAGTAACCGCCACCGTGTGTGAAGGCTCAATCACACTCCATCATGATGCCGGCGTACGGCCCGACGTGCGCCTTGGTGATAGTCGCCTCACCCTTGTCGCTGATGCTGTCTGAGCAATTCTCGTTCTCCTGACCCTCGCACACCCGCCACTCCTGCGGCTTGTCCGTGTGCATCATCCAGACCTCATTTGAGGGATGCCTGTAATCGAGCCACATGGGCGGGAGGTGGGGCACAATGTCGTCAAAGATGGTCATGAACGCATAGCGTCCGGGCAGGGTTGCGTCGACATACTTGGCCCAGGCCTGGTTCCCGACACGGGCGGGACCGAACATCTTCGCCGTGACCGTGACACCGAGCTGCTTCTGGAGGTACACGGCGAGGAGCTCGCCGACGGCCCCGCCCATGCTGTGTCCGGCGACGAGGACCTGTTTCAGCCCGCCCTCGCACGCCGCTTCCACGTGCTTGAGCACCTCGGCACGCACATCCTTGAACACGCCGTAGAAGCCGTCGTGCACCTTGCCCGGGGAGCCCGGGAACCACGCCTTGTCCGGCGTCACGTAGCTGATCCCCAGGGCGTTGGTCCAGCTCTCGGCGCTCTGGCCGTTCAGGCCGCGCATGGAGACAATGACGTGCGAGGCGTTCTGTGCAACATAGTCTGGAAGGTTAGCTCGCTGTGCCGCTGGGAAGAGAACCATGTGGTGCCATCGGACTTCTTCAGCCTCCTGACTCAGAGAGTCAATTGAGATTGACGGGTCATGTGGCAGCTTGGCAGACCTCGAATAACTCACAGTACGGGACGTCGCCGTTGTCTCCGCCAGCGAAGAGGAGCTTGACGCTGCTCCCGCCGGGGACCGAGGTGCACTCGTCGCCGCAGCCCCAGTTCTTCAGCTTCTCGGTGCCGCAGTAGGCTGCACTGTACCTATCAGTTCGTTTTCCACCTGGGTCACTCACGCAGCCCAGCGGGCATCAGCGTTCCAGGAGGAGTACCCCTCGGCGCTCAGCGCGGAGTACGGTCCCTTTGTCGTCGGGTTCCAGGGAGCGCGCTCCTGCAGTCCGCCGGTGGGAACGGGTCCTGGTGTCGGCGAAGCGAAGGCTGTCAGTGCGGCCGCGAGTAGCGAAAGAGCAGCGATCATGAGTGAGAATATCCACCGTGAGCAAGGCGCGGGGGCCGCTCTCCTAGCGGTCTCTTATAGCAGAACCCATTCAGCCTCCGAAACCTGTCAGAAACGGGCAGCGAGGAATCTGGGGAGTACCGGGATTGCGGGATATACGACATGCACGAGGGAGTCTCACTAGGTCTCGGCCAAGAGCGATGGTGGGGACGACGGCCATGTACGACACCATCACGAGATCAGCCTGCGAGGCCCACGCAAGGTTTGACCATGCGCGCCCTGTCACGCCCTATCGTTTGCGGTCATTTCTCACACGTTTCTGCCTGTTCGCTGTAAAGTATGCGGTGGCCTGCTGGCGGACCCAGCAGAGGGCTGCACGCGGGGCAGTGCTCAGCGGTGGCCGCACTGAGACGGGATGAATAGACCAATCGGGCCTTAATGAGCGGTAGCTTGCTGGGGATGAATTGTAGCAAGCGCATCTTGCACCCTTACCCCGCTGGGATATCTTATCGCATGCTCAAACAGGCTCCAAACGCGGGCAGTCTGCCTGTGGTCGCCTGCGCACCACAAGACGATTGGAACAGTGCGGTGCTGCTGTATCAAGTCGTGTCGCAAAGACGCGGCCATCGTGCAGTGGCCGTGCACGCGTATGAGACTTTGTCTGTGGATGCAGCGATGACGCGAGAGTCGGGATGCGGCTCGAAAGACATAAGAAGGGTTCGGCCGGGGCGACGGGCGTAGCCAACCTCAGCCGTTGGGGAGCTCAGCGCTCTGCAGGTCGCTGCGGTACAACCAGTGGCTGGAACGGTAACGGGCGGTACGTCCTCAGTCCAGAAAGATGCGGGCCGGGAGGGCTAGTGGCCAGGCGCGGTGATCTTCGGCATCTCGCCAAGGTCGGCAACGCTCTGGAGAGCTGAAGAGCTGGAAAGATCAAGCTTTGTGGGATCGGGATCCCAGTGTTCTGGTGGCTGTCGTGCCCTGGTTTCCGCAGCAAGGAATGTCACCTGTGTGCACTGTGAGCCGCCCACAACCGGCCGCCGTAGATCCCTCCCTTCTGCGTTTATCTCAACCAAGGCCGACCAAGGTTGCAATGGGCGAGTCTCCAAGCTATCGCGCATCGCCTTTGAGCAACGCTGACGTGCGAAGACGTACTCTTCCACAGCGATTCCCAAGAACGATGGCGAAGGAGATGATGCAAGACCAGGCACTATGAGGCTCTTCTTGTAATTCGGATATCCGCTGGCCGGCCATCTCGACGGGTCTGTTTCGCGACTGACTTTGCACGTGACCGTCGTCGTCTTCTGACCTCGTCCTGATCTACTCTTGCGATGTCGTGGATTTGCGAAGTTAGAGCACACGGGATCCTCGTCGGGGATAGCACGCAAGGGTGCCCCAGGGGACGGAAGGGAGACGCCGAGTACCAGAAAACACAGAATGGCGCCTCGCAGCCAGTGTCCAGCGCTTAGCGCTATCTGCAGTGCGTGATTGGCGGACTCTCACCCGAAAGATGTGGGCCCCGTTGGGATGCTGGGCACGGGGTCTGGCTTGGAGAGGCTGCACTCAGTCATGTGCGGTGAAGATGTGTGGCCAAGCAGTGGGGGGCTTTTGCGGTACGGGGCCACCAACGCCGGTCAGCGCCTTGGCGGGCAACCAGGCAGCAGTGTCTCAGGTTTTTTCGCCGCTGGCGTCGACTCCACCAGGCTTAGGCTGTGGTGGGCGTGGAGAGGACGAAAGGTTGCAATTGTGTGCCCCCATCGCCGCTGCACGCCGCTGCGACCCAGATGTGAACGCCGCTGTGGTCCCCCTCAACAGTATGAGCATTCCCCAGGGCCAGCCGGGGCCAGGTGGGCTCATACCGCATGGGAACGCTCTCGTGTCCGTCGCCACGGTACGCCTGGTCGGTTCTCCGTCTCCGAGCCGTACATCCTCCAGCCCCGGCCGGAGCCACACCCGGAGCAGGGTCCGCCCACCCTGGCACCAGCGACGAGGAACCGAACAATGATACGAGGAGGTCAGCGCTTAATCCGCTCCGGGTCTTCCAAGAGAATGCCGCCGATGAGCATTCGAGCATTCCAGCGCCTCTTCGACATTCAGATCCATTCATGCTATTGAGAGTCCCAACTCACACATCACACAACTGAATACAGGAATATCAACGGCCAGGAAAAGAACAGGCACCTATGGAGTCAGGACACGCGACCGACGCCTGACACCCTCTCCAGTCAACGCGCCTGATTTACTGACGCCAACACGCCCAGCTAACCCAACAGATTCGACAACAGCGTAGGGGACGATAAACAGCTGGGCTTTGGGTCCAAGTATCCCTGCAGTCCGGTCCCATGGATACACGCCACAGCTACCTTGACTGCGCAGGCCGTTGCGCTGGCCAGTCAAAGGTCAGGAAGGAGCATACCCCGCAGACCCAGACCTGCCCCGACTTACAGGCACCTGCAGTCAAATGCGTGGCGCAAAGCTTGCTGATGAAAGAATGCCCAAGGGCAGAAGCTCTGCATATCAATCAATCCACACTACAACATGAATAATTCACAAGCTCTGACTCATCGCCCGTGGCATTTGACCGCGAGCCCGTACCTGCGTCGCGATCCGCGGCGCGACTGGGCCCCTCTCGCCTGAAGCTGGCAGTACTTGGCCTGCGGATGCGGCTGATACGCGTGCGTCCGGGGAGGAGCCCCCTCACCTGTCTCGGGGGCGTTGAGGGCAGCGACACCACTGGATACCTGGAGCTTGTAGGGCACCTGGAGGAACTGGCACCGGAATACCTGTTTGGCGATCCCCGGGCCAAGCCCGCCAGGCTCCCCAGCCCGTCTAGGTCACCGTGGCCCAGCCAGCTCCGGGCCCGTCGGTCCGAGTCGTCGGCGTTCTGGCCCCCACCCAACCGCGTGCGTGCGATGCTTGTGGGCACGTGAGGCGTGAGCAGCTCAGTGGCGTCGCTGGACCCCACGGCCGACGAGGTGGGTGGGGTGAATGGTCTGGTGGGACTGCTGGGATATGGGCAGCAGATAGGCGAGGATATCCGCGGAGGAGGAACATACGACGAGCTCAGACGAGAGCCCAGCGAGTCTAGGCTGATTTCTCCCAGGGGCCGGCGGCGAGGAATGGTCGCCTGATTGTCCTCCCCATAGTCCAGGACGCGCCCCTTCATTGTCATCGGCAGTCGTCGTCGTCGCCGTGGGATAGCCTCGGTGTCCCGCGGTGATGGGGGCGGTCGAATGAGGGCATAGGGGTAATCGTCTTGCGAGCTCGAGCTCGATGCCATCGGCGCCAGCTCGACAGGACGGCGATAAGGCTCGGCTCTAGATCTGGCTGCCGGCGGACGCTCGCGAAATGGGCTCCCAAGGGCCATGAGAGGCGATCGCTCAGGTGTACTTGGAGAGAAGAGCATTGATGGTGTCTGGCGTCGAGGTAGCAGTGGATGCTTCAGTGAGTATGAGAGCAAATAGCAGAATGTGATAGTGAACACCGGAGGCCACAACGTTGTTCTCCCTCATATATGAACATGATCGGGGCGTGAACAATGTACAGGCTGGTGTATCAGGTGGGAATCACAGGACCTTGGTATAACTGGGTGGTGCGCCGTGGTATGCTACCGCGCGCACTGCGCCGTGCGCCGCGCAGGATTCAGCAGGGTATCCGGCAAAGCACAGTCGGGGAATCGCGCCTCGGGCTGACCCAGGATGTTCAGCCTGGGCTGGCTGAACAGGCCGCAGGTCAGCCAACGAGCCTGGCTGGGGGAAGGTTAAGGGGGTCCCTGTACGTGGCGCCAGCGCCGGCGGCGCCAGAGGCAGCACGGACAACCAGACCTCCCAGAAGCGACCACAATGGCAAAGCAACACTCCACATGCCGCTCATCCCATTGTTCTCGCTTTGGCGGTGAGTCAGTTACAAGAAGACACGACCGGCGTCTATGCGGTAGTGACCTGAGACTACCATGACAGATGGAGGCCGTGCGTGGGTCCACCCGTCGGAGTCGCAGGGTACTGCGGCTGACATAGGGGGGCCAGTCAAGCTGACAGACGCCTGCGCCATATAAGTCGCTCACTCGAGCAAGCATCTGTCTCAGTGCAACGGACTGTCCGCTGCATTGAAGGGGGATATCCGACAGCAGCAAGACCGCCATCACCTACGACGTCTGCCTACTACTTGTCGCGCGGCCCTAACCCTGCGGACTGCATCAGCGGAGCTGTCTCGCGCACCATAGCACGTCAGCCTCCAGGACCAGTCAAACGGGACAGTGTGTCAAACTACAAAGAGATGAGGACGTACTGGAACAAGCCCCTCGAGAGTACTTTGGGGTCAGATGAAGCCGTGCGCCCGACCAGCGTGCTGAAATTAGCAAGTCTCATTTGTGAAGGCTTGTCGAACGTCACGATCTGCACGATCGCACAAGCAGGGGCCTTCGAACGCCGTCAGAAGTCAAACACACTTTTATCATTCGCCGCACGAAGGGCCGCTCTAAGGCTTCATGAGCGCGATCCGGCGCAACGGGCGCTCGCTTAGACACTCGATCCCCCTCCACTGGTATTGTCACGGCGAAGCTCGTCCCCTGGCTGACGTCTCATAGGGCGTCAGCTCCCGCTGTATTCGCTCGATTAGGACATAGTCTTCCCCCAACGATTCACCTACGTATCACTCTGAGCGACCTCTTAGACAGCATTGTCAGCCTGGTCGTCGCTCGTTGCGGAAAGTGGGAACTCGGTGCTGATCATCGCGACCTCACACTGCCGAGAGCAGTATGGGAATGGGGTATGGCTTCGCGCGCCTGAAACGGCTCCGTGCTTGCGGATGTCAGCTGGACGTTATACCTTAACAAGAGTAGCCTGAACATCGAATCATGGTATTGCGGGGTGGGGAATGGGAACTGAGAACGTGCCACGTCGTCCAGGGAATGCCGGGAACAGAAGTGCGAGACTTTGTCGCCTCTGTCCGACTAGCGCTGAAGCTCTTGGAGCTGTCTCTACTGTGCATACTGTGAGAAGTGACCAGAAGGTGACAAAAGCCGAATGGGAGGGCGCAGCGCATTAGCAAGTCGCGAGACGTCCAGCGCTCGAGCTACCGGTCATCTCAGGAGTGCGGCGATCATTCGCTCACGCGACACCCACGCGAAAATGCATCCGGGCCTGGCCACTGTGCTCACCGCACTTCACAACAAAGCCAAGACCGCCGCCATCGATCTCTGTCATCGTCGTCACCCGACTCGGTATCACTTATACCCAAAACGCAAGTGTTGTTTGCGGACACGGGGCGCTCGGCATTCTAGACGAATACAGAGTCACTTTCAGAAGGGAAAAAGCGGAATCGACCCCGTCTCGTGACGCCATCACCTCCACTCTCCTTTTTACGGATCAACCCCCTAACCTAGATCTTATCCAAGATGCCGATGGATGCGACGGCCCTGACGGCGTCGGTGAAAGAGCTGAACGAGGCGAGCGCTGGTGGCAAGACTGAGGTGAGCTTTATCGACGTCGGATTAGCTAACGAACAGGACATCATCAGGCTTCTGAAGAAGCTCAAGGCCGATGTCGAGCCCACCGAGGAGCTGCTGAGAGTGAGTCGCTTATCGACTGTCGCAGCATCCGAGCACGCTGCTATGTTCTCCAAGAGGCTAACGTCAGACCTCTCGTGCAGGTATCGCTGTCGGCAAGCTCCGCCAGAATGCCACCCCGGGTGTCTCGTCTCTCGCGAAGGAGATCGTGAAGCAGTGGAAGGAGGCTGTCGAGGAGAGCAAGCGGAAACGTAAACGCGAGGCTGAGGCCGACGGATCTGCGCCGAAGGACGACGCCGTGAAGCGCGTCAAGGCTACGTCGGCGGCCCCGTCGAGTGGCGCCGCTTCGCCGGCTGCGTCAACACCTGCCGGCAGCGCTGGCGACCCTCGCAGCCCCAAGAGCCCGGCACCCCTCACGACGATTGACAGCACCCGCACCACGCCGCGCAACTCGAAGACGGACGACATGGTGTCCCGTCTCCGGAGTGACAGCACCGATGCCGCCTCCGAGGACGTCCGCGACAAGTGCGTCGTCATGATGTACGATGCCCTCGCTTCGGACTCGAATGCCGGTGAGCTAAGACTGCTATGACAAGCTGACATCAGACAAGAAGACGATCGCCGAGCGGGCGATTGGTATCGAGCGCGAAGCTTTCAAGCTGCTCAAGTTCAACTCGGGCAACGAGTACCGTGCCAGTAAGTATAACTTGGTACCCTTTGCGCGTTGTTAACCGTAAACAGAGATGCGCTCGCTCTTCCTCAACATCAAGGACAAGGGCAACCCCGGTCTCCGCAACGAGATTGTCCTCGGTCAGGTCACCCCGGACAAGGTCGTGCGGATGAGCAAGGAGGAGATGGCGTCAGAGAGTGTGCGTCTGCTGAACGAGAAGCTTGCGGAGAAGAACCTATTCAAGGCCAAGGCGGTCGGTGTGACTCAGGTGAGTAAACATGACGGTTGCAGACTATGACCAGGGGCAGCGGCCAATCGCCGAACGATATCGGATAAGATCAGAAGGCATGCTGACGGAATGCAGGCCGAGACGGACGCCTTCAAGTGCTCAAGATGTCAGCAGCGCAAGTGCACGTACTACCAGATGCAGACCCGTTCTGCAGACGAGCCTATGACTGTGAGTGGACGAGTTATCATGCTCTTCGGGGTGTTCGGCCGGCTGACCAGCAGACCTTTGTAACGTATGTGCTGCCGACTTATGATGACACAGTGTGGAGGATGCTGACCCTGGGGCCGATTATCTGTTCGACGCCGTTTATCAATACAGGTGCACGGTGAGTTACCTAATCAGAAGAAGAGAAGCGGAGACTGATGTCCGCAGAACTGTGGCAACAAGTGGAAGTTCAGTTGATCGGCGGGTCAATTACTACTGAGCAGTGGCTGGATTGTGTACTGTTGAGATGTATGAGCATGAGCATGCATTGCTGCATTGCATGGAGCAACTATTCGAGATCCGGCTGATTAAGATGCATGGCATCACCCAGTTATCACCCGCAAATAGGCGGTACGGTGCATGAATACCGCGATTGCTGGGCGGTGAGACGAGCGAGATGTTTTGCTGAGTCATGTGCTTACCTAATGAAGCCACGTGTCACGGGGGATGGCGCCTTGCTATCGGATTTTCGATTCGTGGAAAATGAGTAGTCCGGCAGCGGCTGGCCCCGTTTCCACGCTCGTCGGCAAGTCCAAGTCCCTGGTCCTCGCCGGCAACGAGTCCGAACCTTTATCAAGTCGTAGACCGTCACCTTCTTTGTTTTTTTCCTTCCCTCCAACCACCTTTGCCCACCACGTCTTTCCTCACGCGATCAGCAACAAGGGCTCGCCTCCCCCGCCTAGCCTCTCACCGCCGCTTCATCTTTTCCGCGCCGCCGCCTTCAGCTCCCCCAGCTACCGCTACGCGCCTCGCCCCTCTCTCGACTCTCTCGTCGAACGACACTAAAATCCCCGCCAGCCCCCCTCCCCGCACCAACATCATGGCCCCCGTCCCCTTCAAGGTCCAGGACCCGCCCACGAACGGCCCCCGTTCGACCAAGAAGCACTCCGAGGTCGTTATCATCGGCTCCGGTCCTGCCGGTCACACCGCCGCCATCTACCTCGCGCGTGCCAACCTGCACCCCGTCATGTACGAGGGCATGCTCGCCAACGGCTTCGCTCCCGGTGGCCAGCTCACGACGACCACTGACGTCGAGAACTTCCCCGGTTTCCCGGAGGGTGTCACCGGCCCCGAGATGATGGACAAGTTCCGCGCCCAGTCTGAGCGTTTCGGCACTGAGATCATCACCGAGACCGTCGCCAAGGTCGACCTCTCCATCCGCCCCTTCAAGTACTGGGTCGAGGGCGAGGAGGCCGAGGAGGACTTCATGACTGCTGATACGTAAGAATTTTTCGCTGACATAGCTGCTCGTCTACGGTCGTGAGCTGACGTACAGCATCATCATCGCCACCGGTGCTTCGGCCAAGCGCATGCACCTCCCCGGTGAGGACAAGTACTGGCAGAGCGGTATCTCGGCCTGCGCTGTTTGTGACGGTGCCGTCCCCATCTTCCGCAACAAGCCCCTCGCTGTCGTTGGTGGTGGTGACTCTGCCGCCGAGGAGGCCATGTACCTTACCAAGTACGGCTCGATCGTCCACGTCCTCGTCCGTCGTGATGAGCTGCGTGCGTCGAAGATCATGGCGAAGCGTCTCCTTTCGAACCCGAAGATCAAGGTCGAGTGGAACACTGTCCCGATCGAGGCCACCGGCGACGACGACCTCCTCACCGGCCTCGTCCTGAAGGACACCAAGACTGGCGAGACGCGCACGCTGCCCGTGAACGGTCTCTTCTACGCCATCGGCCACATCCCCGCCACCTCGCTCGTCAAGGGCCAGGTCGAGACGGACGCCGACGGCTACATCGTCACCATCCCCGGCACTGCCGAGACGAGCGTCAAGGGCGTCTTTGCCGCCGGTGACGTCCAGGACAAGCGATACCGCCAGGCCATCACCTCGGCCGGCTCTGGATGCATGGCCGCGCTCGAGGCCGAGCGCCTCCTCGCCGAGGAGGAGGACGAGAAGCCCAAGAACTGACTTGCTGAGGCGGAGGGAGAGAAGCAGAAGCAGGAGGAGCAGTTAGCGCAGGAGTCGCGCGAGTCGCAGGAAGAGGAGCCCCCGCGCAAGCGGGTGCGCCAGAGCTCGTAGCTGCGCGAGCACACTAGACTAGACATATGCATGGCCACCTCTTAAAGTTTCAGACGAGCTTGGCGAGCGCGTTTACTGTCCACTGACTTTATCACGAGAGATCTACAAAGCATCTTGCCACCCGCGCGACGGCTTTGGAGCCAGATAGGGTTTTGCGGGCATCGGCAGAGATTCCCGAAGCTCGAATTCTGGAAAATGACGACGGCCGATGCGGCGGGTAACTGACGCAATCTTGCGAGCTCGTGATAACCGAATCAGCCCGATGATGTCTGCAGACATCAGGCGGTCAGACGGCTGGCTGACTAACATGGATTGCTCATGAACGGATAAACCGTGGCCTGCGGTGCTTCCCATGCTTCCATTGCGGCGGGTCAGTATCTTCTCAGATCACTGATGAAAAAGGCAGCATAGGCCGGCGCAGACACAACAGTGACGCTTTCAAGACAATGGCATATCCTTCGTTGAGCGTGCTAGAAAGACAAAGGTAGTTATAAAAGGGAACAAGAACGTGAACGCCCCTGTGGAAGGGGGCCGGTTCGCCCGCGCAAGACAGTCGCGCGGCCACAGCAACAAGTGTTATAGCAAGAACCTGCGCTGTTTCGCTGCGATGCGCCTTAGCAGCTGTTCATTCTCGATCCACCAGGGGACGACTTTTGCTTCGAACCAGTCTGTCGCCTTGTCCACGACGGGCTTGACATAGGGCTCGGCATAGGGCTGGGCGGCCTGGACGGCGTAGAGGCCTACGAGGGCGCAGAGCACGAAGACGGCGAAGCGCATCACGTGGTCCGTCAGCGAGAGCACGGGGGGCGGGTTCAGGTCGCGGCGGCGCTGTTCCTCGATCTGCTTCTTCTCAAAGTAGCGCATCTTGGCGCGGGGCGGGGGGTTGATCAACGCGAATATCTCAGTGTTGAGCAAAAAGGCGTCGTTCGCCTCGCGCACCAGCGCCTTCTTCAGCTCGCGGTCGTCCCCGCCGCCCTGGTTCATGCCGCGGCGGTACCAGTTCTTGACCTCTGCGAGCTTCTTCTTGCGCTCGCCCACGGTCTCCTCGCCCGTCACGGCGGCAGAGGTGTCGTCAGACAGGTCAAAGTAGTAGAACCGCCTGCCCTCGAGACCGTCCAGGCCGTAGGCGCGGCGGAGCTTGGCGCCGATGATCTGGCCACCGGACAGGTCGCCGAGGTACCGGACATAGGCGTGCGCGAGGAGAAGGGGACACTTGCGCTCGTCGCCCGAGAGCGCATTGATGCGGTCCAGGTAGCGCGTGAGGCGGGGCGGGGTGGACACAAAGACCTCCTCGATGAACGCCGGCATCGGGAAGGGAGCCTTGATGCCGTGCTTGCGGCCGGAGGGCTTGAGCGACCACGCAGGCAGGCGGTTCAGGAGGAACTTGATGTCCGCCGCGAGCGTGTCGGCGCGGCGGAGCAGCTCCGGGTTGTAAGTCGGCGCAAGGACCGGGTGCTGCGCGTGCACGTCGAGGCCGCGCTCGAGCGCACTGGAAATGGGTCAGTACTCTGCCCACATGGTGACATGCGCCACCGCACTGGAACTGAACCACCATGCCACGAACGTCACCGGCCGGGCCGGGTGTTCCAAGTTGCGGTCGGTGGCCAATCTTGAGACTACTCACTCGTAAACACGCCAGAGGATCGCAAGCCAGCGGACATACTCCTGCAGCTCGAGCTGGCCCTGGGTCAGCGCAATGGCGCCGTCAGAGTTCTCGGCCTTGGTGTGCGCGCGCTTCGTGCCCTCGCGGAGGAGCTCGGCGGTGGGGGCCGAGTAGTCGAGGTCGCCGAACTCGTCGTCCTCGTCCGGGGTCGTGATGCCCGAGCTGGAGCTGGCGGCGTCCGAGGACGAGCTGTTCGTGCTCTCGAGCGAAGGGCGGGAGGCGATGGCGGGGTGGCCCTCGGGGACGGCGCCGTCAGAGGTGTGCGCGACGGGGCACATGCCCTTGGGCACGCCGTTGGCGCCGTTGGGCAGGACGGGGGGAGGCGCATCAGCGCTGCTGTGCGCGACGGGGCACGACATGGCGGGTTACAGTCGGTGTGATGGAGCGGAGCAAGCAAAGGCGAGCAGAGCAAGCAAGCAGGGAGTGATGGTGGAGAAAGTGCAAAAGGAAAAGACAATGCATGGCAAAGGGAAGGGTCCCAGGTCAGTCGGAGAGGTCGCGGAATCCAGAATCCATGAGAGCTAGCTCAGTTACGCTTGGCGGTGCGCCCTGGGGCGGCCAGCGGCCATCTATCAGATATCTGTGTGGGGTACAACAGGTACGGCTTAAGCATGGCTGCCATGGCTGAATGCATCCATTCCTGCGAGCAGGTTCCGGCCTTGTCTCGCAGGCCGCGCCTGTGCTCAAAGGTTCTGGGTACTCGGCGTCCAGCCCCGGGCCATGCACCGTACGCCGGATACTGCACAACAGGGTAAAGGACGAGAGGCGCATCGTACGGTGGGTGGCGAAGAATTTTCGGCCGACCAGTCAGTGTGGGGGATCGTTGGAGAGTGTCTGCGGATGGCGTCAGGTCACGTTTTTTCGGACTCGAGCGACACCACCTCTGCTTGAGCGTGAGAGTTTACTGGTCACTCGGATGTCACGGAGCCCCTCGCACTCCTCGCGGCCATTATCTGATATGCGCGGCAGGGGTAGTTTTCGCCGAGACCGTGACGTCTGCCCCTGCGCATCCTTCCTTCTGACATCAAGACACATTCTTTGAGCCGTGTGGACTGAAAGAAAACTTCTCACGCCGCGGTCCATAAACAACGCGCAGCTATTTTGGACGCAGTCGTCAGTGGAGCAACGGCTGGCATTTGCTGCCGCTGCTTGTATTGCCTGCCGTAATCGGCGCTGTCCGGCAGACCTCGTATTCTAGGTGCACACAACCAAGTGGAGGTCGGCCAGCTGGCCATCTGAAAACATTATCAGCGCTCGTCCTTGACTGGACTTCAGGATCCCGCAAACTCAATCACCGCTGCTTGGCGCGCGGGCTGGCCTTGGCAACAGACACATTCCGAGTGCACGCGACTGTTTCCAAGGTGACCACCACTTCTGCCAGTCACAGTCACGGCGGTCACTTGGGTCACTTAGGATGACTGTGGGTGTTGCGAGGGTGCGGTGGCGCGAGAGGAGGGAAGGTGTTCTGCACAGATTAAGCGATGTCTTGCGAGGGCGCTGAGATCTGCAGTATGGAGGAGTCCTGTCAGGTACAATCACCCGGATCCAGCGATCAACACTGCATAATTGCCTTACATCTTAGACCCGCCGATGCGCACTGATTCTGCCATCCCTCCGACGAATGTCAGCGGAAACCTTGCTCAACTGCCCCGTGTCGCCGCTCCGCCCAGCCTACGCCAATGTCTTGCATCAGCGCCACCGGCCCATGGATCGGCGTGGATCAGCACTCCCACGGAGCTGCTGAATCACGCTCCGGTCCCAGCTGACATTCGTGCTGACATTTGACACAACTGCAACTGGTCCTAAGCACCTCCGTGCTGTTATCCCTCAGACTGCCGATGAAGAGCCGACAAAGAACCGACGATGGCCGGATTTTCTTGCAAGACAAAGTGCAAACGCTGAAAGTCAGTCGCCTCACAACGCCGGCAAGACGGACTCAAAGAAGAGGACGGCCTTGGCAGGAATGTCCATGGTCTTGGCTCGTCTCTATCGGGCTCACCGACCCGTGCCAATCAACGCGCATTCCTCTTGCCATGCCGCCGATTGTCGCGTGCGTCGCCAACTCTGTGCGGGGTCTTGTCAGCCAGCAGAGCTTGACTACGGTGATATGAATACCGCAGGGCCGTGCATACACTTAGCTCAACCCAAAGCCGATCTCGACAATTCATCCGCGCATCCTCGCGTCGTTAGTGTTTGCTCCCGCCCCATCAGCTTATCAGATACCGGAACGGATCGCCGGTGCGCACGGTGCACAAGCCATGATGTCCATAACAGGAGCAGCATGCTTCTTCTTCCCACTGTGAACCAAATGAATGCAATCAATCTACAACAGAGACGGTAAGCGCTACTTGTAGTCGTCAAACGTGTCGTGCGGCTCCTCGTGCCGCGGTGTGCGGATCTGGAGCGGGCGGCATTCCTCTTCCCCTTCCTCCTCGACACGGCTGCTAGCTCTACTCCTGCCGCTTCGCGTTATGCCAGGTCTGCCGCCCCTGCCACCAGCGCCGCTACTACTTCTCTCACGCCCAGTCCCACTGCCGCTGCCCCCGCGCTCGAATGCACCAGCAGTAGCTCCGCCGATACCTCCAGAGCTGGCGCCAGCACCGTCCAGCAGGCGCATCAGCATGTCCTCGATTCTGGACTGGCGCGCCTCAATCGCGCGCAGCTGCTCCATGGTCCTGTCGCTTGAGGACTGTTTGTCGCCCTGCTTGTTCTCCAGCTTCTCGAGCAGCTCGCTGGCCGTTGTCGGCGCCTTCCCTCCGGGAACGCCGGTGGGCGCGATATGCGGAGAGTTCAACTTGCCACCAGACTGAGGCGACGGCTTGCGCATTTGCTTCGCCTTTGGCAAGGTGAGCTTAGGTGGTGCGGGCACGTCTCCGCCGACAGCTATGAGCTGAGAGGACTCGGGCGTCGAGCGCGCCGACTCCGCCGGTGTACCCTTGGTGGTACCAGGCGCCGTTCCTGGGGTGCCACGAGCTGACGTTCCGGGCGTGCCCTTCGCCGACTGCGGAATGGGACGGCCGCCGCTCTCTGCCTTCGGCAACGGCTCCTTGCGGTCCTTGGGAGACTTGACGCCCTCGACCTTCAGCGCCTCTGGCCATGTCTCTTTGGGAGGCTGCTTGTCCTTCTTGTCGTCCACCTCCTTCTGAGGCTCCTTGGATTCGAGTATTCCCTTTGGTTGTTCCTGCTTATCTCCGCCGTCCTGAGCGAAGTCCTTGGCGGCCACTCCGGCGCGCTCAGCGGCCAGCTCTGCACGATGAGCGAGCTCCGCACCGTCAGGGGGTGCAGCGTCCTGGGCAGGCTTGTCGACGCCAGCCGAGTCCTTTGCCGGCAAGACGGGCGACGGCGATTGGAACGTGACTTGAGGCTTCTTCTTGCTCTCCTGCAAGCTGCCGTAGCTCGGGAAACGCTGCGTGGGCGGAGGATTCAGCCCTCCGCTTTCGGTGCGGGTGCGCAATGGGTTGTTGGGACTCAGGGATCGAGACATGCCCGGCTCGCTCGGTGTCGGGCGCTCCTCGATCGTGTCCTCCATGGGCGACAGACTCGGGCGTGTGGTCGAGCGCGCGAGGCCCGCAAATGACATGCGATGCCGATGTGGTGAAACCGAGGTCGACGTGGCCTGCGGGAACGACGATGTTACGGGTAAAGAGCCCACGTTTATCGTGCGCTGCCTGTGCGTCGCGTGTGATGCTTGGTCGCCGCCGACGAACAACTGCGCGAGCGGGCTGGGTCCGTATACAGACAGACTGCTGCGACGAACACGCGCCAGCGGCGCAGCCGCGCTTGCCATAGCAGTCGCGTTCGCTGCCTGGAGACCCGTGGACACCTTATGCCCACGGTCAAGGCTCCGCTCTCGGGGACTATTCGGCGGGGCGCTACTCTGTCGATGGAACATCGTCTGTTCGGGCGAAGCAGCCATTGGGGAGTCTTGCACCGCACCGGCTTCCGCCAGTACTGTTACGTCCTCGCCCGTCGGCGTGTCGTCCTCTTCAAACACTTCCTCGTCCTCCCATCCATCGTAGTAACTGCCATACTCGCGTTCGGCCTCGAACACAGTTTCAATGTCCATTCTGTTGCCTGCAATATGATCGAATCCAGCAGCGGCCGTGATCTTTCCCCACGTGTGGTCGGCATAGTCGCACACGTTCTCCCATAAGGACGAGTCTTGATACCGCTGCCTGTCATACAAACCGATCAGGAGCAGGACAGGGAGGTTCGTTACCCGAATCATGAGCACTGAATGTTAGCTGGGCTGGGGCTATGGAAAGGAGCAGCAAAACACACCATTGATCTTGTGGAACCAGCGGGCGTTCAAGATAAAGCTCAACGGATAAAGGATGACGATGGCCAGGATGTTGAAAGGAAGCTGGTAGCTGAACACAGCGTCACCCTTCACCCCCTCAATAGTGGCGACTGCCTTGCGGAACATGGATTCGGCTGCGGCGTCCTGGCTGATGATGGCAAACGTGTTACCGAGGATCGCCACGGCCACAGTCAGGAGCAGGGTGTTCGACAGGAAGGCGTAGCTGACCATGAGAAGCGGACCGAGCACCGGGTGGATAGAAGCTAGGATCAGCTTTAGGTGTGCGAAACAAGACTCACCAGCTTTCTGAAAGCCGGTAGCGTCCAGACCAAAGTAGATGTAGAGCATCCACCAGCAAATCTGGCTGACTTTGTACACGCCAGCGGCGAGTCGTCCCATGGCGTACACGAAGCCCAGGAAGCACACAATTCCGACGCCCATAAGGACTGTTGGTCAGCTTCTCAGACTTCAGCGTAGCTTACAGAAGAACTCGGTCAACATGGACCGAATGCTGAGGATCATGAGGTTGTTCGCGAGGGTCATGAAAACTAGACGTGGGAACATGAACACTGCGCCGACGGCGATCAGATCTGAACCGAATTCGAGGGCTCCCTCATTATGAGTCCAAAAGCCGATGAGACGCGCAGCAAGGTAGACGCAGAAGATGATCACGAAGAATATGTCGAAGCCGTTCACAAGCGAGGAAGCGAAGACCTTGAGCCCGTGCTCGCGCATCGCGGCCGCTTTGTCCAGTGAGAACGCCAGCGCGTACACGATGAACGCGAGCTCGTACCCATTCATGTGATTTGTGTCGATGTGTTCGATGGTCATAATGTAGAGCACGAACAGGATCACGAAGTTAACGTACTCCAGTATCGCGCGGATGCGGGGCACCTTCAACCGGTAGTGGTCCAGGATCGGTGCCTTGTGCGGGTTGTAAATCTGGATCGGTCGCTCCTTGTAGGACTGATTGTCAGCTTAAGTGTTCGGATTGCGCGAAGCTCACATCTCGAATGAAGGCGTGAGGGTTGACGGACGTGTAGATGATCTTGCCAGACCAGATGCCCTCTGGGAACAGTCAGTCAGACCGTCTATGGCGAACTTACCGATGACCTTCTGGCAGGACGGAGAGCGGATGAAGCGCTTCGAGACGGAGATAATGGCCATCTCTAGCGCAGTAGCGCTGTGTTCGAGTACCTCTTCCTCGCCGTCATCCTTCAGCGCAGTGATGACCGAGCTTGGTGCGCCTTGGAATAATGGCCAGGGTGTTAACAGCACAGTGGCGAGGTGCAAGCTGCGCTCACTCCATCCTCGAAGCACTCGGATCGCGATGATCTCACATAGTGTCGCACGCGATTCAGACAGAGTCGCGATGCTCAGCTTCGCACTGTCTGAGATGAACTGGACGCGGTTCAGAAGCAAACAGAACACTGAGGTCAGCCGAACGCTTCCAGGGAGGAAGGGGTGGAATGGGGGAAGGCGCGAAGAGGGTAGAAGGGCGCAATCATAGGAGCGAGGAAGGAGTGACTCACCGACACTGGGGTTCTGCAGCGCGATGTACTTGTCCGTCAGAGGACGGATGATCGTGTACGTCGAGTCCGGCGCCACCAGTTGATCGTACGTCAACGGCGTGTCTGCGGTCAGCTGCACACCGATGGGAAAAAAGCTCACCAATGTGGGCGACAATATCGATTCGGATCTCGTGCACGAGAGGATACACGGGGACCTGGGTGTCAACTTCCTTCCCTGTTCCGCAACTTCTTGCGATCGGTCCTTCGTCGTACTCCGCAGCTTGCTCCATAGGAGCTGCCGTTCTGCTCTGGTCTTCATGGCTCGCGCAATCCAGCACCAGCTTTCCTGTGTCTGCTTATTCCGAGTGCCGCGCTGCACTCACTTTGGAGAAGTCAACATCGGCACAGAGAAGAGCCGAGGTCTCGTTGGCTTCCTCGTCGCAGTCTTCGGCATAGTCGTGACCGTGGCGTCCGTGGTGGCCATCGTGACTATCATGCCCGTGCCCGTTGCCGTGGTGCAGCCCCTGGTGGCCCTGGTGGGGCATCGTAGTCGTGTCACTCGCCGTGCTGGAGATGTTGTTGATGAAAGAGGAAAGACGGCGGTTGAGCGGCCAAGAACCAAAGGAGGGAAGGCGGCGTCTGACGCGCCCATGTAAGGACGCCGCTGCAGCCAAGCCGATATTGAATCCACGCGCCAGTGACGTTTTCGGGCAAGGTGGAGGTCACCTAAAGCAAGTGTGGCTTGGCTAGTGATGGTCCGAATAGCGGAATCAAATCTGCCGATCTGCGATAAGGATGGGCTGGAGCTCGAAGCCTGGCGATCACTGATCACTGATCGCTGGCCATTCAGCAACTGGTCTCAGCTGACCTTCTCACAGTGATAACATTACACGGTGCTCACTCTTGAAGCGCATCTAATCGTTGAGGATGAGAGGCTGAAGAGACTGGGACGAGCAACTATCTGATCATTGGGATATAGGGTCGGAGAGTTCCAGTTGGGCGACCAGTTTGAGGTGATCAGAAGCTGGTGGGGTCTGCTCTAGCTCTCTGATCTCTCACTGGCACTGTCCGTCGGCAGAAATAGCCATGATTCTCAGGCGATCCGTGAAGGAGCGACGGCTTTGACGATAATCAACGATCGCTTGCTTGTCCAGGCCATTCTTGCACATTTCGCATATGTGCAATGATGCTACTCTGCAGAGCTTATGACCCGACCAGAAACTCAGTGGAAATGATCGTATGCTGGCTGTCATGCAATCGCAAGTGAAGCTTGGTACCGACGGTATCGCACGCTCTTTGCCGACTGCACGTGACTGGGGACTCACTGTGTAGGAACTGTCAGTTTACCCAGCAGCAGACGGCCTCATCACCTCCGAAGTTCTGTGGGCCGAAAACCTGGAAGTCTGGACTCGGCGCTCCTTGAATGGGACCTTGGCCGAGTACGCCATACGCCAGTGCCGAGGAGCCGAACGCGGCGAGCGACATGACATCGGGCCGAGGGCTGACGGCCTGACAGGCTGGTGGAGTATCGTAAGGGCAGCAGGGGAAGGAGGGCAGGTGACTGCAGGTGACTAGCGCCCAGGCCTGGATGGACTGAATTGCTTCATCCCAAACTCCACTGGCCCCTTCAAACAGAAATGCCCCTGCGCCAGGCTGACCCAGAAGAACAAATTCGCCGCTGCTCCACTGACCACTGGTCGATGGATCGATGGTCGCCTGCGTGCTCGTTACCGAACTCGCACCGTATCGAGCATAGTTCCAGAAACGTACTGTAGGCATGAGAAGGCATGACACAGTCTTCGGCCATCTCGGTACGCTCGGCGTACTGGGGGACAATCCGAAGCGACCTTGCTCGGGCCAGCCTGCCACCGCAATGTACCAACCGACAGAGCAAGCCGGCGGCCCGGCGGCGAGCAGTGGTCAGCCCGCGGTCTAGACTCTCAATGTTGGTGACGTGCAGCGGGCACCTCCGGGGAGCCGTAGTGGAAGCAAAGGCTGGAATGAGGGCTCCGGCGCTAAGTGTATTCCAGGCTTTATGAATTCCGTAATCCCGCGCTGAACTTGTGAATCAGGTCCCCCACCCAGACTCACCCCCAGCGCTTTCTGAGCAAGGGGTCGGGTGTTTGAACTTGTGTTTGAACTGTTTCTCCGAGCAGTCTGTAACACGTCTCAGCCCCTCCCCCGAGGGGCTAGCGCCTTGTATCATGTATCAAAGTGCAAACTCTCACTTAGCGCTCAGCAACATGCATAAATCTGTCTCATGACGCCGGGCAGTAATTTTCTATCCTGTCCACATGCAAGCTGCCGCATTCCCCAGGCCGAGCCTGTCTTGCCCGAGATGCCCGCCTGTCTTGCATCTCCTGACCGCCGTCGCTGGCTCCCCAGACATTGGCCCCTCGCCGATTACACTCTCGATCACTTCGCTCACTGCGACGGCTACGCTTCCATCATCGGCTGACTGGAGGTTGTGCTCGCTGCAGTCGCAAACTTGCCCCAGCGTCAATACACAAGTAACATACATGTTGGCCGCGCAGCGTTTATGACACGACGTAAGCTACAAAGGGATCCACTCGCGGAGACCGTGAACTTTCCTGGTGATCTCCGTATGATATAATGGCTATGGCTGGGACTTGATGCGGGTATCCAATGCGATATTATTAGAGCATTATTATACTTGTCGATTTGCTAGGTGATTAGCTGAGGGCGCCGTCAAGGCAAGCCGTCGTCGGGAGGGGAAAGAACAAGGGGAAGAATGCAGTGGTGAGGGTTGGATAGCAAAGGCGAAGAGCGAGGAGCGAGTGTGAGCGTGAGGGTGGTGTGCGAGGAGCAGGCTGCGCTGCGTGCGTTGGTCAAAGTTGAGTGTTGAGCGATGGATGAGGTAACAGACCTGAGGGAAAGATCTTAGACTCTGTTAGCACTCAGTGGGGCCGGAGGGATGGGGACTGCGCCCGCGCTCGTTACCCTCTTGGATTGCGTGGCGAAGAGGTGGAAGCGTCACGCTAGAACTGCCCTCATAGCGCGGAGATTGCGAGGGCCCGCGTGGCACGCCCTCTCGCGGGTCGATGTACTCCTCCTTCACACGCACATAGGACGAACCCTGCGAGCCCCCCGAGGCGTGTCGGCCGTGCGACGATGGCGGGGGAAGGGACTCGCGGTGCGCCGTTGGGGAGTGCTCGGCGTGAGGAGGCATGGGCGGCAGGCTGGGACCGCGGCGGACATGCGGAGGAGCAGTTGCCCACGAGGGGAAGCGCTTCGGCTCGGGAAGCTCAGTCATCGGTCTGTCGTCCGCAGGACGCTTTCCGAGATGCTGAATCCGAGGGGGATAAGTACTCTCACGACCATAGTCGCGAGGGTCGCGCGGGTCGCGCATGTCGCGCATCTCACGCGGGTCTCGGTAATCACGAGGGTCGCGAGGGTCGCGGTAATAGCCCGCTGGCGGAATGGGAGGAGGAGCAGAGTAAAATCCCGCTCGAGGACTGCGAGATCGAGGATCAATCTCCCTCTCCCTCTCCCTAAGCTCGCGCTCACGCTCCTCGTAATAGCGCTGCTCCTCGTAACGATAGTCCGAAACCGCGTGAGCAGGATGAGGAGGCAGAGGAGGAGCATCAACTCTTCCGGGAGGATAGTAGGGGTACGAGTAGCGGTCAGGCGGAGGCCCAGGCGGGTACCGATCGGGCGGGTAAGCATCGTAGGGTGGGTATGGCGGCCTGTGAGGGTCGTAGGGATGCTGCGGCTGGTCGTAGTAGGTAGGATAGCGCCTATCGTGAGCCTCGGAAGGCGAGCCTCGCGGCACATGCTGAGGAGGGTATGGCACGGCCGGCCCCATTTCGTGGTGCGGTGAGATAGGCCCGTGGGGATATCCCTTTGGCGGAGGGAAGGGCGCCGCAGCCGTCGCCGTCACTGGCGTGCTAGGCCCAGCAATGTGGTGCGGCGGTGCGTGAGGGTGTCCGGGGTGTCCCACGGGGGGCAGCGGCAGATGAGATCCGTGGCTGTGGGGGGTCGAAGGAGCTCGTCGCACGCCGTAATCATCACGGCGCGTTTCCCAGTCAGGCCAGATTCCCGGAACGATCTTGATGTGCGCGAGATTTGGCAACTGCTGGGGCAAAGGGAGCGGGTTTGCGCCATCGCCCTGCGGATTACGCTGCGGAAAGGCATCAGCGGCTGGGATGTCACATGGGCGAAATTCAACTCACCTTGGAGGAATACGCGACTACGTGAAACTTCTTGACCTTTCCAGTCTGCGGGTGTGTCATGCTCGTCGAATACGTCTGTTTGACGAGCGGTTCGGGCCTGCGCGGTGGTGTAGACGACTGCCCGTCACGGCCTCCGCCATTTGGGTAGTAACTCTGCGAGCCCCCTTGATACGATGGCGAGTCGGGGCGAGAAGGGGGCGGCGGAGACAACGAATCGGATGATCTAAGCATGTCGTCAGCACACGATCAGAAACCAAATGCACAACATTTTGAGAATCCCTCGCGCGGATCCCGAATGTGATTGTACTCACTCAGTGTAGACAAGAAATCCACCGCCACCCACACGAGATGCGCCCCATCGACGTCCATCCGTCCAACGTCGCATGTTCGTCTCCTCTGAAACATTGTTAGCACCGCATGAAATAGCTGTGGGTGCATACCTTCTTCCCAGACCCATACGGTACCGGGGCGGATGAGGGAGCGCTCATGGCCCGTTAATCGCCGGGTGACGCGGGGGACCAGCCCTAGTCGGACGGCTTCGAGGATGTGAATGCTGTGAATTGTTTTAGCTCAAGCACGAGGAATGCGTTGGGAGTACTTACGCATCGGCGGGCGACTTGAGGGCACAGATAGCTGCTGGTTGCTGTGTCGATGAGGAAGGATACATGGTCACCATAGGGCGGAGGGAGGGAGGAGAAGGCCGAGGGGGGACTGTCGGCTGCGCCGCTGGTGCACGGCGCGGTGATCGAGGTTACTGTCGCTGCAGGTGGGACGGAATGTTGATGGAACAAATCGGGATAGTGAGGGATCGCGAACGAGATACGCCCAGATGCGTCGAAGAGAAAGGGACTTCGGCGACGATGAGCGGCGACGATGGATCCAGGAAATCTATATTGATATTGCCGATCCGTTGGAAAAGGGGTAGCTGATGGGTGACTAAATCAGGTCAAGGGAGGCGGAGGCGTTGAGGCGTTGTCGGCGGCGGCGCGGCGGCAGGGGGCGGCAAAGCAACAAAGGGTTGTGCAACAAGTTGTTTGGAGAAATGTGAACCGTCGAGAACGGGGAAGTGCTCGAGGTGAGGAGAGTTCAAAGTGACGAAGTGTGGACAAGACTTGATTGTCGAAGGCGATACCAGCGCTGGGTTAAGCTTAGCGGGGGAGGTTGCGAGGATCGCGACCGGCAGTCTGTCCGTCTTTGGCTTTGTCGTCCCTCAAGGGAAAGGGCGTCAGGTGGCTTCTCGATTATTAAAGCCAAAGAGCGATAGCGAGGTATGCGAGGCGTTTCCGTGGCACCGGCTGGAGAGCGTCGAGCAGGGACGATGGTGAAGGGATGAGGGGATGAGCCGGACAAGGTCAAGGTCGGTGGTGGTTAAGTCTCAGACGAAAAGCGCGAGCGGCCGGATATGTGGTGTCGGTGAGTAACAGAGATTGTTGTGGGGAAGAACAGGGGAGAAGAGAGATGCGGCGGTGTGGTGGAGTGTGTAATGTATGTTGTGTAGAGTGTAACTGCGTAGGTATGTGATGTATGCAAGTGAAGGCTTTTCGGTTGAGTGTCTGAGGCGAGAGACAAGAGTCAGCAAATGCGTGTCGAAGTGTCGTACGAATCCCAGTCCGAATCTGACGCCTGAAGACGACCTGTCGTTGTTCTCGGCTCGGGCTCGGGGGGCGGCTTGGTCGATGGGTAGGTGAAGGTGTGGGTGCTGCTTTCGATGCCTGTCGGCTGGAAGTCCTAGAAGTCCTGGATTGCCTGGATTGCCTGGATCCCGAAGGGTAGGACAGTTGTGGAGGGGAAAGAACAAGGGGAAGAATGCAGTGGTGAGGGTTGGATAGCAAAGGCGAAGAGCGAGGAGCGAGTGTGAGCGTGAGGGTGGTGTGCGAGGAGCAGGCTGCGCTGCGTGCGTTGGTCAAAGTTGAGTGTTGAGCGATGGATGAGGTAACAGACCTGAGGGAAAGATCTTAGACTCTGTTAGGGGGGCAAGGCCATGCGACGATAACAAGGTCTCAAGTGGTGCCGTAAGTTTCCAGGGAAGACAGCAACCAGACGTTTATTGCAAAGTAAAGTGCTTTTAGACCCACGACCCCTTGGGTTTCCTACCCGATTCGCCCCTGGACTCGCATCTTGCATGTCGTCAGTCCTTCTCGCGACCCCGAGACCCCGAGACCTCCAAACCTCGAGACGGTCAGCGGCCAGCGGTCAGCGACCCAACCCCGGTCACTCGGCTCCAGCACACGGCGGCGACCAGATCGATGACCATGGCCTGCCATGCCTGCTAGCCTGCAACCGGGGCACCTGTCCCACCTGACTCACACACACCCAGCCGGACGGCAAGACAGATGCATGCATCCCACCACCCACACCCATCGATCCACCCACTCCAGTAAACCCTTGCCCCTTTGCCCTGCCGAGAGTACGAGCCTCGGCACTGCGCACATCAAAGCAGACACGGGACGGGCACGCAGCGCACGAGCGCACGCAGAACAAGCAATGCGTGTAGAGCGCGTAGCGTGAGTGCTCTGGCACAGCGTCAAATTGGTACCAGCGTCGGAAGGGCCCCTTTGGACAGAAAGCGGAGGGAGCGTGTAAACTTTTTACTGTGCGTGCTCTCGCTGCGTTCCTACGGCCCCTCATGCTCTGAGGGCTGGAGCAAGAGCTGGGACGCTGGGACTTGGGCGCCATCCTGTCGTTGTGCCTGCTGGAGGTGTGGATGGCGTCGACCCTTTGGGCGCTGGCTGTCGTGTGTCCAGGTGGCAGACGGCTGGGACCTGGGCAAGCTTGAAGGATGGATTGTGTCGGGTGGACCTGTCGGGTGATGGTCGAGGGGGTTGCTGGATTCCGTGGTCGTGAGGTGGGTGCTGTGGGGATTGCCCTGCCTGCCCTTGGTTTCCTTGGTCTCCTCGACCCCCTTGGTTGCTTGCTGGCTGTGTTCGGGACCTGGACCCAAAGTCCTGGAGCCGCGGGGGCAGAGAGTTCGCTCGGGAGGCTGCTTTTAGTTTTGCATCTAAGAAAGGGTACCATTTCAGGAAACACAGGGCCTGACAGGGCCAGTTACGCCAGGACAACCCAGATTCTTGCCATAGGGTTTCGCTGGATAGGGCCAGGACTCCTAGGAGTTACAGGGACTGCAGGACTCGCTAGGTCAACTTTGCGACACGAGGGTCCCCTCGAAGCCCAGCCATGACCCAGGGGCAAACAAGGGGGTAGCCAGCCAAAGTCAAAGTGCGGTCGGTCGACTCTCAGCCCAGCGTACTCGCAATCTACACTCCTACAAGGTCTCACCTTCCACCTCACTACCGTCAGCCCATCAGCATCAAGCTTCATCTGGCCATCTGCCGAGCCAGCCCTTCAGTTGCTCCATACCGTCGACCCTGGATCGGACATCGTTCCTGTAACCCGGCCTGCAGCCTGACTGACGGGCATGCTGCAGTTCTGCCGACTGTTGACGCTGGGCCAACTCCTATTCCATGCAGGACCTGTAACATGTCGGCGCTAGACTAGCCTCATTGCCATCTCAACTCTAGGAAGACTAGCGTCAGATGATCCACGCAATGCCAACAGACGCTTGTAGCGGTCCTGCATCTGATCATCTGGATCCGCATGAGACGCCCAACCGATCACTGATCTGGGAGTCCTGCGAAACCTGATCTGCCTAATTCGATCTGACGCCCCGATAAGCGTCGCAGCGCTATAGAGTGAAATTGTGAAATCGCGCATCGCACATCTCCATCCGAACCTCCGAGCCCTCGATGGGCAGGGGTCAGGTGGCTGTAAACCTCCTTTGTCCTGTAGATGAGGCTGGTGCCGCGGACGATCAGAGCTGCGCTGACATTGCTGCGGTGCAGCTCCATTCTGCCGCGGGATCTTCGGATCTCATCTCTGAGCGCAGACATGTAGCAGTCGACTGATCGCATTCAGCCCACGCAGGGTTGGCCTAGGGCTTGCAGGGTGCAGCAGGGCTGGCGGGGGATGCACTTCAACGTTAATCAGCGTCTACCTCTCGCCACGCATTCAAGGCGTCAAACGAGCGAATGGATGACGAACCTAGTTAATTACAGTCATCAATCAGTTTCAGATTACAAATGCTAGGACATGACTGTGTGGTGGGCGATATCAGCTAAGGCTCGGCCTTCGTCCTAATCCTCAGCCTCAGCTGACTTTTGCTTATCCCTGCAGTAGAGTAGGCATTCCTAACCCCTCGCTCCTAGTGTCTGCTCTCCCTTCTGTCGCGAGCGTACGCGTAGCATGTAATTTGCCCCGTGCTCTCGGTCTAACTGACGCATCGGTCACCTCGTCTCCGTGTAAGCAACGAATTCTCCTTGCTTCTAGCCAGCCCAGGGTAACATGCATGTCCTGGACTGTCCTTAGCGTTTTTCAGCCAGCAGGCATCAATGCATTCCCCAAATCTAAAGCCTCTCTGAGCCCTCATCAGTGCCCAGCTGTACCCGGGATCTCCCTCTCTGAGCGCCACACTTCGATTGAAACATCTGAGCGCCCACAATCCCAGCTGCTTATTGTTGAATGCACCCAGGAACGAGTGGACGGATGTACGGAGGATTGCCGTACCCTCTTGCATGCCCTTTCTTGGCCCTGCAACCGAGCGACGTGCGCAAAGCGGCCGCCGCCGATTGCGCCGAGCGGTGCACAGTACATGGCTGGCTGGCTGGCTCGTCATGAACCGCAGCCACTCATGAGACAAGCTCAAAACAGGCGTGTCTTCTGGAACGCCGTTGCGCAGTCGCTTAGCTGGGCGGCAGCGCCGAGAGCCCGGCATCGGGATGTCGAGATCAGAGATCTTCCCACCCGAATCTGATGCTTGCAACCTCTTGTGTCAGTGAGAATGAGACACATCTACACAAGCCTGCAAACTTTACTACGCCAACCTGTCGTGGGCGTCATTTAGCGCCTGAACCTGGGAGGTTCAACTTTGCGCCTGAGACTGAGCCAGTGATAATGGATTGGGGACAGACGACGCTTTCCGCTGTCCAGGATGTCCGCGGGTTGTGTCCGTGCTGTGTCAGGAGACCGAGGAGCGTCCACCGACGAGACTTAAGATCGTTACCTACTCGATAGCTCCGGCTACGTCCGTTTCGCAGCAACGGACGTGCTCGCCAAGTCATGCAGACTGTTTCGTGTTTGTGTCACCATTGGATGCCACCCTGAAGAACGGGGATGCAGTGGAGTGATAAGCCAGTAGCCAGCCACGAGCGGCCAGTAGCTGGTCACTCCGGCGCTGTTCCCGGCCCAGTGAGCCAAGCCTTCGGCATCGTCGGCCTCGGTCAGTACTCGGCCTTGTCTTGGGGCAGGATACAGTGTCTGACGTTTGACAGCGATGTCACAATTCATCAAGTGAGCATAGCAGTACACAGACGGCTGGAAGGTCTGACTGTGCAACATCATCCGGCCATCAGATGTACAAATTATGCGTAACAGGCTTGTCCCAGTGCCCGGGCAGTGACGAGAGTTCGCTGATCCGCCTGACTTCGGACGTCCAATTCAAGCAGAGCAGAGCCTTCACCGCAGTTGGAGACGGAAGACTGAACTCTACCGGGTGTGTTCCAGACCTCTGGCGACGTCTAGACCTCACACACCCACTTTTCATTGCGGTTGCCCTCGACAGACCCTCGACACGCGAGTGCGGCTAGGTAAGCCTTGCCTCGTCGTCCAGGCCAA